CTATTAAAGCCTATCCCCGACGTTACGCGAGATTTCTGGTCTTTTAGCGACAGACTCGCCGACTTCGCCCTTAACAATATGTAGCATTTTACTCTAGAATCGTTCAAGAAAATGTATTGGTGTCTAGAATTATCACGTTTGGAGATGTTAGCAATAGTTTTTCCATTTGGCGCATCGTAATATGTTATTCCACAAATATTTAAATAAATCCTAAGAATGTTTTAACATTATATAGATATTTAAATACATATTACCGCCGGTAAGACTAATAATTACCAAGCGTGACGAAATATTTCTACCCTGAAATCCCGAAAGACAGAAAAAGACATAATACTGACAGCATTAGTTATAATGCTGGCCAATTTAATCGGTATTATGTCCTTTCAAGAAAATGGTTTCGGGATTCAAGATAGAATACCGGGTGCGCGCTCAAATTCCAGATGGGGCCTGTTACTTTATAATTTATCGATGTATCAGACAATATTATTAATATGTAGTAGGAATTATAATTTGAGCAGGTTGGTTATAGAGATTGTACCAGTTGAAAAAATCTCCACCTAGATGTTAATAATCTTGATGTAGTAATCGAGGATTATTACATTACCCGAGTTCAGGGTTGGCAATTTATCTATCCATTGAAAAAAAAAGTCAAGGAGGTCCGAATGGACCAAGGGATAAGAATTCATTGCCATTGGGTCCATTGTAGAGTTGCTGGTGAAGTTGACTATCTAAAATCTGATTGTTTATTTATTATATCAACCAATCAGGTTTTATATGGTCACCATTTCGCCAACGGCTCTAATCCACTGTCAACTCTGCCTGGGTTATATATATAGTAATCCTTTCTAGCGCAAACCCTAGTGCGTTGTGACACGCCTATATCAAAGTGCAAGATCAAGTGTAACGTGAAATCAAAAAAAACCCATTCACATAAATTAGTATCGTAAATATATCAAGCTGCTGTAAAAATGACAAATTAGCTAAAATGTATTGATATTAAGTTTCAAAGTTAAATCGAGAAAATCTATTTCAGTGCGCATTTATTTTATTTCAATTTAAGTTCTGAATGCACTTATTTTAATTATGATTTAAACTACGTATAGCGATTATTACGTACATAAATTAATTTAACCTTTGTTTTGTGAAATAGGAGTCTTCAGATACTCCCATTTCGATTCTCTTATCTGACATACTTTAAAACCCCCCAATGATGATAATGTGACTCAATTAACGTTAACGATCTGTTTTCTGATTTCAAATGAAATTAGGGAGTACTATGAGCAATTATTTCGAAATAAGCAATCTATAAAAATTTTTTTTTTATATATTAAAAAAGTTTATTCCTATTTCATATCTGATTTCGGAATTTCAACCTAAAATAGGATTTTTGAACTCCCATTTAATTTTTGAAATAAGTAGTTAATAAATAATCCTAATGATGTCATTCGATTCTTTTTACCAAAAATATGATTGTACCCGAATGCAGGGTCTAAATATGCCGATGAATAATACTCATTATCATAGTATTTTCATTATCCAAAATTGTGGATGTGGCTATGATTGCCGTTAGCAATGTAAACCAAACCAGAATGGGATTTTACTTAATTTGGGTTCAGGAATTGGCATTTATCGATGTTCCAAATCCAATTTGAAATCCAAACTTGTGCTCATTTTGCTTTCCATATCCAGGGCCAATCAACCCTACGAAACAAACATGGCGCAGTTGATAGCAGGGATGATAAAATTGGAGATCATTTGCCTTTTTTCAAATGACCTAGGCCATTTAGGACTGAAATTCATAATAAAATTGGGTCATTTGAGGTCATTTGAGGTCATTTGGGGTCATTTGAAGGTCATTTACCATCCCTGGTTGATAGTACAGGGGAATTATTTTCACAACTGTGGAAATAATTCCCTTGCATCATTATGCAATGTTCGATTATTTATCTTATGATTCGCGCTCTAGTCAGTGATGCATAAGTTTGGGTTATAACGCAGTTACGACACAATTGTTAAAACTAGTAAAACCATTTGGGAATCTACTAAATCCCAACCTATTGGGCCATCCAAAATATTCGAGACAACCCAAACCATTAGGGATGGGGAAGTTTGCTTTGGTTTAATATAAATTCTAATTTATGCAGATCCTGCATCAACCAGACCAAATCGAACTAAAACTTCCCCACCCTACAAATCATGTGATGCACGTGTAATGTAGGTCGAAATCCCAAATCTGACTTGGAACCAAAGACTCGGCTTTTGGAGTCGATTCAGATTCAGATCGGATCGGACTTATCACATCCTTAATTAAGTTTTTGGCATACCTGTATTGTCATGAAATAATGCGTTATTTAGAGTACGCGCATGACGTTATTTTGAGACAAAGATAAACCATCTCCTAAACATGCCGGCCATATTTACTTACTTGTGAAACCCTAATATAGGGTGCGCGTCATTTTGGGGAGTAATTGGCAGTCGATTGTATTATAAAGATGACAAATATCGTAGGGATCCCTATCATTTCCCGACATTAATTTCCGACAAATCATTTCCCCGACATTTATCTCCCGACAAATCATTTCCCCGACACGATCATTTCCCTGACAAATCGTTTCCCCGCCGACACAATTATTTCCCTTTATTTCCAACCATTCTTCACCCAGCACGTCCGTAATCTGACAATTACGCCATTAATGTAATTTACCTATCCGACAGTACCTCTTAGAGTTAATATCGGACGTGCTGCGTGAAGAATGGTTGGAAATAAGGGGAAATAATTGTGTCGGGGATATGATTTGTCGGAGAAAATGATTGTGTCGGGGAAATGATTTGTCAGGGAAATGATCGTGTCGGGGAAATAAAAGGGAAATGATTGTGTTGGGGAGATGATTTGCCGAGGAAATAATGTCTGGAAAATGATAGGGATCCCTCGCGTCAATATGGGCTAGGTGCTGGAAAAAGGAACCATAATAGATCATAAGAAAATACAAACTTTAAAGAGCTATTGCAAAATTTTATTAATACAATTACTTTCGTTCCTTTTTCCAGCACCTAGCTTGATATTTGGTACGGAAGTGCCAACATGGATTCTACTAATAGCTGAATAGTCTATACCATTAAATTTACTTTGTTTACTATGTTTATAACCGCCGTCCAAACTATTTAGGATGTGATAATTAGCACTACACTAGTTTTAACTTAGTCTTGACTAGTGTTGCTAGCCGAAATTATTTTAAGCTTGTAGAAATATTTCGACTTTCGACATTTAGCATGTCGAAATTCTAAAATAATGTCGAAATACTAAAGTTATGTCGAAATTCTAAATAATGTAAACTAGCTAATTAATAAATACGTATAAGTTGTGCAATATATGAAATATACATTAATTTATCTTTATGAAATATACTTTTATTGACTATCTGAATTTGATTTTTATTCTCTATATAATTAGGTTTAAAAAAATTTTTACCCGTTTTATTTAACTAAAGAATATATATTGCCGAAGTGATTAGAACGATTAAATATATAAATTTGATTATATGTAATAATTACGATATTAAGCTTTAAATACAATAAAAATTTAAATTAAAATAAGTTAACTTTATAGATGAATTCGATAAAGTAAATATTTAGTCATGTAATTTACAATTTTATTTTTATCGCTCAAATAATTTAAAAAACAAAAAGCCAACTATAATATATATCTTTATTTAATATTTAAAAAAAAAACATTTAACTTGAAATAAAAATTATACACTACTAAGCATTGATTCAAATCCTGCACCGAATTTGCTTTCATCAAATTCCTCATGATCAAATTCCTCATGATTCAATTCTTCACGATCTAATTCATCTTCATTTAATTTATCATTCGAATTTTTATCTTCTTCGTCTAGCTCAAAATTATTTAATACTATCAGACTTTCTATTTCTAAGTTTATATGTTCAACTTCGGGTTCAGAATAATTCATTATTTCATTTAAATCATCTAAATTATCCGAGATACTCTCTTCTTCAACTTCAGAAGACACAGCAAAATCTTGAAAAACACTTTGTATTTTTTCTTCTGTTAAATCTAATCTATAGTAGTGTAATTCTTGTTTTGCATTAGATATCAGATAAGAGCTTATTTTTACTATTGATTCCAAATTTTTAGTTTCTAAATTACTACTAAAAACCATCTACACCGTGACCAAATATGTTCGCAACTTGCAGCATGTGGACATACTGCTCCTAGCTTAGTTTTAGTATCATCATCAGTAGTTTTCTACCATCGAATCAAGCTATTGATATCTGGTACATAAGATCTATTATATGGTTCTTCATTACAAGCATATTTACATAATTGTGCTTTTAGTATATCCAAGTCACCTTTTTTAATATTAGATCCAACCATTCTGGTCCATAAGTGACCTGCAATTCCAGCTACTCAAGCAAATTGTGATGGTTTAATTTAAATCCCTATAATTTTTAAATTGTAAGTATATAAAAAACTTAATTGACAAATCGTAATTAAAGGGTACAAAATGATCGACATTTATTAATTATAAGTGACGGGCATTTAATAGTGA